TGACATGTGTGCTTTAATAATGAAGAAAGTATAAACAAACAGAACTTTACAAATATTAATATTTGTGGTTTTGGATGACTACTTGCCCCTTTGGCAGAACTTTGAATTTAAATTAGTTTGAAGTAACTCAAGTACAAACATTGGATCTATTTTCATTTAGTATTTTATTTTGGATGTTTGTCATTATTATGTTATGCAAAATAGGGGCATTTGATATTCTGAAACTGGGTCCATGTCTGGAATTTGTTTTGAATTTCATAAGGCATTTGAATTTGTATAGGTTATGGTTTATAGAGTGAAATGTAACTTTCAGATCTGCCCGTCAGAATGTGTTAAAATTATTGAGAAGTTAAAATGATTAAAATCCTCTATTTATTCCACAATAAATATGTGGTTCTCTAGTAATTTTACCAGAAGTAAATAAGTGTCTCTGATGAGTGAGTTGACCAGACATCCCAGGAAGGATTAATATACCTATTTATTTTTTTATTTACTAAATTTGTATACCGACTTTCATCCAGATATCTCATGGCAGCTCACAACATAAAGATACAAAATAAAACACTCAAAATACGTTATAATATAGGTGAATCTAAAACTCTGAAACAAGCCCACTTTTTTCTCTACATTGCTCATTGGCTCCATTATATGAAGTGAAAAGCGTAAGTGTATAGTGCCCACTACAAGTCTTTGTAGGTTGTTGACTTAAATGTTGTTGTTAGTCGTTAGTCGTGTCAACTCTTCGTGACCATGGAACAGAGCCGCCAGGCACTCCTGTCTTCTACTGCCTCCCGCAGTTTGGTCAGACTCATGTTTGTAGCTTCGAGAACACTGCCAACCATCTCGTCCTCTGTCGTCCCTCTTCTGTGCCTCCATCTTCCAACTTCAGGGTCTTTTCAGGAGTCTTCTCTTCTCATGAGGTGGCCAAAGTCTTGGAGCCTCAGCTTCACATCTGTCCTTCCAGTGGCACTAGGCTGATTCTTAAGATGGAGAGGTTTGATCTTCTTGCAGTCCATGGGACTCTCAAGAGTCTCCTCCAGCACCATAGTTCAAAAGCATCAATCTTCGGCGATCAGCCTTCTTTATGGTCCAGCTCTCACTTCCATACATCACTACTGGAAAACCATGGCATATACGATTTGTTGGTAGGTGATGTTTCTACTTTTAAGATGCTGTCTAGTTGCATCGCCTTTCTCCAGGAGCAGGCGTCTTTTAATTTGTGACTGCTGTCACCATCTGTGTGATCAGAGCAGAAGTAAATCTCCTGCTATTTCTCCCTTTAGTTCCAGGATTGATGTGGCCATTCTTCGATGTTGAGCTTCAGTGCTATCCCCACAATGTTGTAAATGTATAAGAGGACCCCTGTAACATTTTAGGTGCAGGTGTGGCCTGACTCATATACTAGTGCTTGACTTTCAACAAAGGTTAACGTTTAGATAAGACTTTTTTTAAGAAACAAAAAAAACTTCATTATTCCATGCTATACTAGCGAGACCCCGATACAGCTGTAGAAAGTGATGGAGCAGTCTACCCAGGGTAAAGGTAAAGTGACTTTAGGTCCAGTCACGACACCCTGGGTGCAGCACTTCTGCTTTATGCCGAGGAGCGGCGTACAGCTACGGTCATGTGGCACATAACTAAGCCGCTTCTGGTGAACCAGAGCAGCGCACGGAAACGCCGTTTACCTTCCCGTCGGAGCGGTACCTATTTATCTACTTGCACTTTGACGTGCTTTGGAACTGCTAGGTTGGCAGGAGCAGGGACCGAGCAACGGGAGCTCACCCCGTTGCAGGGATTCGAACCGCTGACCTTCTGATCAGCAAGTCCTGGGCTCTGTGGTTTAACCCACAGCATCACCTGCGTCCCTACCCCCAGGATAGCCAGTCCCAAAGTGGGACATGGGGGTTGGAACTGGGTTAGCTATGGATCTGACCTGTTGAATTCTAAGTAGGGCCAGCTCCAAGGGAGGGGGACTGTTTTGGGTCCTTCTGCTGCATCAACATGTAGGTGGCACAGCAAAAAAAGACTGCCTTTCATTCAGGCCAGGCAAATCTGCAACCAGTTAGGGTTGCTCTTCCCAATCACAAGAGATAATTAATAATTTCTCAGCATATTATCAGTGACTGACCTAAGACTACACACAGTACTTACTCTCAAGCAAGTTCAAGACTGCTTATAGATAATATTTAAACACACACACTCATTGATATTAGACATCCCCATTAGAAGGATTCAAGATATTACAAAGAAAAATAGCAACGCTGTATACCTTAGCTTCCACCACTATGGAAATACCACATCACGCGAAAGAAATCATCAGTTCTGCTGGTGCATAAATGATTTGCTTTCCTAATTCACTGCCCTATCCAGTCCACAATCCATTTAATCAAATGCATTGATTTAAGCTGAAATCCTATTATCAGAGGCCAGCTGTGGGGTCATTGGTTGTTGCCGGTGGGTTAGCGCTTGCACTATTGGAGTTCTCCTCCCCACCCATGGGTGCCTGTGATAAGCTTCATGGGTTTAGGCATGACGCCACCAGTAGTTTGCTGTAGGCGGAGGGAAAGAGTGTTTGGGGTTGTATCGGGATAGGATCCTTGGTCCCCCTCATTCCTCTGCCATTGCTTCCCAGAAGGACCCCTTAGATACCCTAGTCCCAGAGGAATGAGAAGGGAAAGTAAAATATATAATTGGCAACAAAAAAGTAAGGAAGGAAAAGACGTCTCCTGCCCTCACTGGAGCAAAGCAGAAGGGCTTAGGAAGCTGAGGTCTATCTGCCGCAGAATTTCTCCACCACCACTGTACATTTGCTGTGTTAGTTTCAGTGGAGTGAATTTAGCTCTGCTGAAGTCAATGGGATTCAGCTAGTTTTAATTACTGGTGTCCCAAAACTGTGGTGTAATTTGGAATGCGAGCTTCTGTTTTCCGTGGCAGGTGGTTGTTGCCGTTTCCACCAAGTTCCCTCGGTTTTATTTGCAGTGACCAATTCTGAAGTTTGTTTCTGAACTGTTTCAGCTGGAATATCTGTCCTTTGGTACCATCTTGTGGCTGCATATATAATAGGCACGCTGTATTCATCTCGGCCAAAAAGCCCTTTTAAGCAGTGGAGTAATAGCTGTTTTATATAAAATTTCTTTATGTCTCCCCCCGCAAAAAGGGCCAACGTCCAGCGGAAGGGAGTTACACAAACAAGGTGTAATAGATATCCCAGGAATCTTGCTTTTCCCTACTGTTTCCTTTCTTGTAGCCTGACAACCACTTTTTAAAGTTTTGAGGATAAAAAAGAAGTCTGTTTTTTTATAGAGCAGTGATCGCCATCCTTTACGAGTATGAGGACCCTTTTTTAACCCCCCCCCCTTTTTGGCAAACTCCTCCAAGCTGACTGTTGTAGTTTTAGGCTCTGTTAATAGCTTTTTTTGTCTTCTCCCTCTGACTACTCATCTTTGTCCCACCACCACTGCCCAGGCGCTGAGCCTTCTTCCTTTGTGGTTTCCAGCTCTTTCCTCCCACCATTCCTGTTTCCAACCAGTTTGTGACAGTAAGTGTGCATTGCTAGACGAGGAGCATGACTTTCAAAGCTTGGCAGACCCCGGCCAAGGACCTGTGCTCCACAGCTTGTAAACCGCTGCTGTAGAGAAAAGCCTTTTGTATGAAACAGGGACTTGATATAAATAACCAATTGCTAGGGCGCCCAATTTGCACATTTCTCTCCCATAAAAAGGAAAGGGAAAGAAGACCATGTGAGCTGGAAACCTGCACAATCAGGTATCAGTAGTGGAACGCAAGCATTATATGTGAGGCTTATACAGTGGTGCCCCGCAAGACGAATGCCTCGCAAGACGGAAAACCCGCTAGACGAAAGGGTTTTCCGTTTTGGAGGTGCTTCGCAAAACGAATTTCCTATGGGCTTGCTTCGCAAGACGAAAATGTCTTGCGAGTTCCTGTAGGGTTTTTTTCCTCCCCCCCCTTTTTCCCAAGCCGCTAAGCCGCTTATCAGCTGATCCGTTAAGCCGCTTATCAGCTGATCGCTAAGCCCGCTAAGCCGCTAATAGCGCTAATCCGCTAATGGGCTTGCTTCGCAAGACGAAAAAACCACAAGACGAAGAGACTTGCGGAACGGATTCTTTTCGTCTTGCGAGGCACCACTGTAATGTGTTGAGGAGAGAGGGTGCATTTGTTGTCTACTCTATGAAGAGGTGAGAATAACCAGGACTCTTTGGGTTGTATCCAGTGGGGGCTTTAGACCAGCAGAAAGCAGTTCTGCTCACGCAAGGTGAGACACCTGATTTTTGGTGAGTTCCCACTGCCTTTTGCAGATGGTTGCCGATACCCAACAGCAAGCTGCTCCTGATGTACCTGTGTGTCAAGAGGGGCTAAGCTGTGGCCCTCCTTATGTTTCTGGACCTAACTGCCACCCATCCCTGACCATTTGGTTGAGGTTGAAGCGTTGTGTTCCTCTTCCCCTTTCCTTCATGCTTGCAAGGAAGTTACTGGAAGCTTCCATTCAACCAACTGTGGTTTCTGGGTAAACAATGCTAAGTGTTAACACTGGTTTTTGAAACAAGTCAACTTCAAATTGTGATTAATAATCCTGGATGGTTTGTACTAACTACAGTTTCTAGTTCATTGTAACGGGAAACCGTAGCTGCTTGAAAATTGAAGTGAATGGTTCCAATCTCCTCGTAGCCATAGTGAAGGAAGATTGGGTACAAAATAATAAAGGAGGGCTCCACATTATATGAGAAGCATGCCTGTGTTTTTAAATCTGTTATTCTACCACTTACTGTATACTGGAAAACGTTTTGTTTGTTCTTCATACCAATTTTTGAGTTGGAACTAACTTGGTTGTAAATTAGAAGCTTTTCTCTTTTTTTGCTGTGTCCATTTTGTATTAAATCTCATATGAACGAATGAGTAAAATGACAAAAGTAAAAAAAGATTCCTTTTGTACCTGTCTTTTATCAAAAGCGCTGTAAATTCTTGTGATTATTTTTTCCTAGTTGTTTTTATATGAAAAGTCATGGATGAACAGATGGAAACCTTCAGTTTTACATGAAGGAGAGGGAAATATCAGAAATGTTAAATGGAGAGGAAACCTGATTGCTTGGGCCAATAATATGGTAGGTATTTCAGAGTTAGCTGTTTCCAGTATGTGAATGGGTAAATTTCTAAATTGGCATTGCACTGGATGTCTTGAAATGTTTAATTTTTCTTGATGTACAGTGTTTCAAAATCTCTCTTATATTCCCATCTCTTTCCCAATGCCCAAGTGGCCACAAGTTAACATTTCATGCATTAAGATAACCATATGTTTAATTACATTAAAAAACAGGAGTCAGAAAATAGCAACCTAAAATGTAGCAAGACACAAAGGTCACAAGGGGAGCGCCTACTTCAAATTGTTGCCCTCCATTATCTACCCTGAGCCCACAAGAATAGGTTTGGTCATAATCTTTAATCCGTATGTAAATAATGATCTTGACAGAGGACATTCAAGAGATTAAATCACAAAGAACAGCAGAATGAGCCCTGATTGAAGCCCTGTTCAGGCATTCAAAGAATACATGTGGGGACATAGAGGGAAAGCAGGGGTGTTCACACCAACCACTTCCCCAATACAGTGGTGCCTCGCAAGACGAAATTAATTCGTTCCGCAAGTTTTTTCTTCTTGTGAGTTTTTCGTCTTGCGATGCACGGTTTCCCATAGGAATGCATTGAAAATCAATTAATGCGTTCCTATGGAAACCGCCTTCAGACCAGGTCCGGGGACAGTCTGTCCCCCGACCTCTTCTGAAGGCTGGGGGGGGGGAACAAGGGCTTTTCTTCCCACCCCCAGCATTTTAAAAAACCCCGGGACAGCGGAGGACTTCTCCGCTGTCCGGGGCGATGTAAAAGCCCCTGGGAAGGCAGGCAGGGGGGACAAAGACTTTTGCCCCCCGCCAGCCTTCAGAAGAGGTCCTGGACCTCTTCTGAAGGCGGGCGGGGGGCGAAAGTCTTTGCTCCCCCCCCCCCGCCTGCCTTCAAAAGCCGTCCGGGACAGCGGAGAAACGCGCTGCCTTTCTCCGCTCTCCCGGGAAGGCAGGCAGGGGGGACAAAGACTTTTGCCCCCCGCCAGCCTTCAGAAGAGGTCCTGGACCTCTTCTGAAGGTGGGCGGGGGGCGAAAGTCTTTGCTCCCCCCCCCCGCCTGCCTTCAAAAGCCGTCCGCGATAGCGGGAAGCGCTTCCCTGCTATCCCGGACTGCTTTTAAAATGCTGGCGGTGGGGAGCAAAGCCTTTCGGCCCCCGCCGGCCTTCCTGGACCTCTTCTGAAGGCCGGAGGGGGGGAAAGGCTTTGCTCCCCACCGCCAGCATTTAAAAGAGATCCCCGGAGATTTCCCTATGGGCTTTCTTCTTGCGAAGCAAGCCCATAGGGAAATTCGTCTTGCGAAGCGCCTCCAAAACGGAAAACCCTTTCGTCTTGCGGGTTTTCCGTCTTGCGAGGCGTTCATCTTGCGGGGCACCACTGTATCTCCATCCCCGCCATGTCCGCTCATGGCGTTCCCCCTTTGGCAAGGGGCTTCTTTGGGATTCCAACTGAACACACTCAGAATCCTCCCCACAATTACAAAAGTAGTCCTAAACAATAAATGCAACGCATCAAAAAGCACACAGCCATACCGGAACAATTTCCACACAAATCATTATAATACCTAAAAATAAAGACACAGAAATTGAATACCAAGAGCAGCAGCAGCAACAACAAAAAACCCCTAAACAATACCCAATGCCCAACAACACCTTCTGCCTCAATGCTCAACATTTGGGGGTGGAGCCAGAGGAGATGGGAAGGTTTGGGGTGAAGCTGAGATGAATATACCTTCATGCCACTGATGCTGCCAACACGTCCTTCTCACTCATGTTGATTGTATGCCTGAAGATTGCTACAGCTACAACTACTACTACTGCTATATTGCATTTTCTACACATTTGTACTCATAGCAGTTTAGTGCTTTAATATTATTATTATTATTATTATTATTATTATTATTATTATTATTATTATTATTTCCCGGTTCAAAAACTGGGCTTAGGGCAGCTAACAACAAATTTAAAACACTTTAAGATGCTTAATTATAAAAGCAGCATAAAATACGGTATAAAAACATGAATAACAATAAAATTCAAAAATCAATTAGATAATCGCCAGGGCTAGCTGGCTGAATTAGTCCTACTTGGGCCAGCGAGGGGGCCAGGGGAGAATTAGCTGTGGGGTCTCAGAGCGGGAAAGGGGGAGGGAAGAGAAGGGAAATAAAAGATCAGGCTGAATTCAAATTTTAGACTTCTTCCATAACTGGCATTCTATAAAAAACATTTTAGCTGGGTCCATTTCCCTGCAGGGATCCCTTAGCTTCCAAGGAGTGCCAAGAGGCCTGTGAGTGAGAGAGGAGGACCAGACTCAGAACGCAAGAAGCTGCTTCTGCAAAACAACTCTCTCCCCCAAATTTCTTAAACAAAATGTGCCACTTCCAAGCATGGTTCCCCCTTAACTCTGTCCTCTAGGTGAAAGATAGCACCTCTTCCTTTTTTAAGCAAGACTGGAATGTAGTACACAAAAGCCTAGAAATTTAAAAGACAAATACGCAAATCAGGTTGTTGTTAACCACATTTGTCTTATTAAATCACAGGCAGTTCTTAAGTAAATGGGCTTAGTAGCAGATTATAGTGCTACTTCATTTTATAAGTATATAGATATGTTGGGCCTTGTGGCTTCTGTGTGATGTGGTATTCTGCATTCGTCTTGAGGGAGGCTGCTGTTCAGCTGTCACATCTAAACCCAGTAGATCCTTGAAGAATATAGGCTTTAGTTGTGTCATTTTGAAGAGAAGGTGCCACTGGCAGAGACAGTGGTAAGAACCAGAATAAGATTTCACCACTGTATTTCCATAGCATAGCCAAAGATAGTCGAGGGGAAAGTTGCCTTCTAGAACAGGCACATGTATGAGATGCAAACAACTAATTTGTCATAATTTGTAGAATAAAAATAAATAAAAATTGAAGTGGTAGCGCATAAATAATCCTCTAAATTTTATAAAGAAGTGTTACAGCACATTTGGCTCTTGGACGAAGATGTTTCTATGCATATGCAACTCCTGATAGCACACTGCGCCTGCAGAGATTTAAGTTGTCACTGCCTGCCTGCCTTGCTCATTCATGTCCTTTCAAGAAAAATGATAGTTTGCTGTGGCAGAGACAGACCAGTGTGGGCAGTTTCCTTCATCTGGCTCTCGCTCTTTGTACACAGTTGCCAGGATCCTTTTCTGCGCCTGCCAGTAGGCCTGTGCTGCCACCTTAGCATAACCTGTAATATGATATTTCTGGACCATGGTTTGCGTATGTGGTGCCACACTGAATTCTCTTGCTGTGTGTTAAACTTGCAGGGCGTGAAGATACTCGACGTGATTGCTAAGCAAAGAATCACCAACGTGCCCCGAGACGATATAAACCTCCGTCCTGATATGTATCCCTGCAGCCTTTGCTGGAAAGATAATTTAACACTGATTATTGGCTGGGGAAATTCAGTAAAGGTACAATTACCTGTCTTTGTAATAAATGCTTGCTGCTATCACAGACAAACAGAGGATTATTTCTGAAAAGCGAAGGCGATAGGGGTGGGGGAGAAGAGAATTTGATTTGACTACTGTGTGGCGAACTCCTGCTGCCATAGAAATGTCATTGGGCTGACCTTCATAAGAAGGAATAATGACAAATGCCCAGTGGTCAGACGGATTTCTCTGAGCGTGTGCAGTAGGCAAGGCTGTGGGCTGATCCTCCTTTCTTTGTCTTCAAGAGATGCATTCAGAGAGCTGTTAAAAGAGAGTCCTGAAATTCATTCGCTCTGCTTAGTCCAGGCAGGAAGTACTTAACATGGGCATTTGGGCAACAGTTTGTCATTAGTGGGGAGTGAAACCTGAAACTGGGGTGCTGAATGCGTGATTTATCAGAGACGTCATAAAACTGCAGTCAGAATTCAGCTGTTGCCCTCCAAAAGAAGCTTTCTGTAAAGAAGTGTCAGCTGTTAATTTCTTATCCATAACACAGAATGGAAAGCCAAAAGAAGATAATTAACTTTCTAGGACTGCTATCCTATACACACGTAGGTTGAAGTAAGTCAAATTTAAGTCATTGGGACTTACATCTATTTAGACACGTGCACTGTAAGAAGCATACAAATTAAAGCTTAAAAAATAATAATCTTACACATTGTAAAGTTCTGGAAGTGTTTTTATAACTCATTTGTAAAAGTAGACATTTTCCAAGTTAGTAAAGAGTTTATTAATATAAATGGGGTTGACATTTTGTTATTCATAATGTTAATGTGCAATTAGCAGCATGGAAATTTGGGGGGGGGGGGCGTCTTAAAGGCTACCAAATTTTTGATGGCATCAGATTTCCTAGACAAGAATCTTGTCAGATGCATCTGATGAAGGGGAGACTGGAGAAAGTTGGTAGCCATCAGAGTAATGTAAAAGTTTGATTTGCTACAGCAGCTTAATGTAGCTGCTCATCTGGAATATGTGAAAGCACTAGTAAAATTATTGCTATGTAGGCAGTTCGAAGAAGCTCAAACTTTTCTAGAATTCTATTCTCTCCTGAGATGCTTTCTTGCTTTATTTGTTGCTCTTTCCTGCATCTGTTTATTAAAATGCTATCTTGTAATCATCATGATTGCAAGTTCTTGGGAGGCTTTGCCTATATATAGTCTGAATTAATTGTCTGAATTAATTTTAAGATGTATTGTAATTAATTGGTGTCTGTTTTTATACATATTGTGTTGTTTTTATTATGTTAGCTGCTCTGAGCCCAGCCGAGGCCGGGGAGGGTGGAATATAAATAAAATAAAATAAAAATAAAATAATAATAATTATAAATGAACTCTCTCTATTTCCTAAGGTAACTAATCACAATTAACTAACATAATGTTTTTATTTTACAGATATGCTCAGTCAAAGAGCGACATGCCAGTGAAATGCGAGATCTGCCAAGTCGTTACGTGGAAATAGGTATGAGTATGACATGTTTGCCATTAATTTGCAGAAAAGTTTTTTGCAAATAGCTGCTTAAAAATAATGTCATTTTTTTTGTTTCGTTTTAAATGTGAGCCTCATTTGCAGAAGCATAATTCAGTGCATGCAACATTTCACTTGGGAATACTTTGTAGGGCTGTGGTATTGCAAAGTATGGCAAATCGCTTTATTGAAAAAAATTAACATCCCCCCCAAAAAAAAATTAGAGTAGCCTGAGGACAAAAGGAATATGGCACTTTGGAATCTGTTTGGTCTTCTTTTGTTTGCTTCCTAAACAATGCCCTTCATTTCCTTTTACTGCCATCAGTGTTTACCCAGCTATGGTGATTTTTTGCTTTCATAGGAATAGTTTTGCAGTCACTTCAGCCAGGAAACAATACAATATTAAGATAGCATGTAATCCGCTAATGTAACTCTGTCATACTTACCTCCTTTTTTGTATATCTGTCCTTGGCTTTTGGGATTTATTTGTTCCTAAGGTGTCTGCTCTGGGTTGCGGGGGCGTGTTTTCTTTGTGTTCATATGACCCGGAAAAACTGTCTGTGGACAAACACCGGCTCCCTCGGCCCGTAAAGCGAGATGAGTGCCGCAACCCCAGAGTCGTTTGCAACTGGACTTAACTGTCCGGGGTCCTTTACCTTTTTAAATAAAAAGTAATGTTCTCAAGTATCTTCTTGGTAAAGGTAAAGGGACCCCTGGCCATTAGGTCCAGTTGTGACCGACTCTGGGGTTGCGGCGCTCATCTAGCTTTATTGGCCGAGGGAGCCAGTGTACAGCTTCCGGGTCATGTGGCCAGCATGACTAAGCCGCTTCTGGCAAACCAGAGCAGCGCACGGAGACGCCGTTTACCTTCCCGCTGGAGCGATACCTATTTATCTACTTGACTTTGACGTGCTTTCGAACTGCTAGGCTGGCAGGAGCAGGGACCGAGCAAAGGGAGCTCACCCCTTCGTGGGGATTCGAACCACTGACCTTCTGATCGGCAAACCCTAGGCTCTGTGGTTTAACCCACAGCACCACCCGTGTCCCTCATCTTCTTGGTAGGAACCCTCTAATAGGCAAAAAAACCCCAACAACCCCAGTAATCCTTCATGTAGTTGGTGTGGCCTGTATTCTGCAGTGTCTGGAAGACTGGCTCTGGATGACCGTGTTTGTGCTTCTCTGACGGCATGTGTGGAAAGATATTGCTCTGTCTGACATGTGGTCATCTGATTCCCACCACTGTTTCAACTGCTGTCAGGAAGTGGTTCCATACACGTGGTCAACAACTGCAGTTGACTCAAGCATATGAGTGGATAACGGAGGCCGTTTAAGCATATTCTTTAGATTTGCCAAGAGAACGAGGGCGGGAAGAGCGACAAAGAAGAGCAATGCTGTCATAAATCTGCCCAGACACATATTGTAAGGGTGGAGTATTTGTGGAGACAGCTTCTTTATCTTCCGTCTTCCAGCACAGAGTCTTCCTTACATATTTGAGGATCAGTGCTTTATCTCACTTAGCTTCTAACAATCCGTTTGAGATTTCCCATTCTGGTTTCAGTTCACAGCACTTCAGCTCCGTTGAATGCTCTGAACATCACTCCTTTAAACAGGGGCTGGATGAGGCTGAGGGGAAGGTTGCCATTTATCCACGTTGTAACAGAGACTACAATGCCTTTTTGATATCATTTAGGGGCATCTTGCTTAACATTCTCATGTCGTACCAGAACATCTCCTCCTGATTCATAGTCGTCTAAGCTTTTACTTGAGGCAGTTCATGATATATGATAATCTTCTTCAATGATGCCAGATACCCCCAGTGACCAGTTGCGATTTTGTTATTGTTGACAAAATGTAGCCAATCAAGTGCATTGTGGACTGGCTCATATACGGCATTTGCCTCCCAGGGGAGGGGTGTCTTTGTTGCGCACCCCTCCCAACTCCCGTTTATTCAACTTTTTCATACCTTGTTTTGTATCACAACTGTAGCACTTCCTCTCCTCTCTTCTCCTCTCTGTAAGGATGCACATAAAGGTGCAAAATGTGTTTATGTCGGAACATGGGAAACTGCCTTATAGTGAGTCAGTCCAACTATCCATCTAGCTCAGGATTAGTGTTTTCTTCCACTCCATAAGACACACCTGACCATAAGACACACCTAGTTTTTAGAAGAGGAAAGGGGGAAAGCCCTGTTTTTGGAGGGGATCAGCTCAAAGTTGTGCAGCTTTTTTTGCAAAGGGGAAAAATCCTGTTTTTATGGGGTTCAACTCACAGTTCTGCAGATTCTTTAGGAAAGGAAAGGGAGCCGTTTCTACAGTTTCCAGACAGATAATCTAATCAGCCAGTCACATGTCGCTGGGGAAACAAATGGCCTCCATCTGCAGAACATTCAAAAATGGAGGCCTGGGCCGGAAAGGGAGCCAGCGATTGACCACACACTCGCTCCATAAGACGCACAAACACTTCCCCTTACTTTTTAGGAGGAAAAAAGTGCGTCTTACGGAGCGAAAAATATGGCAACTGGCAGAAGCCCTCCAGGGTTTCAGAAAAGGGGTTTTCCCCAGCCTTCCAGAAGATTCCTGTGGCTGAATCCAGGACCTTCTGCATACAAAAGTAGCTGCTCCGCTATAGAGCCATGTCCCTTCCCTAGTTTTGTAGAGAGGCTACAAAAGTTGACAAATCATTTGGTGCAGAGCAGCCAAAGGGATAGTTCAAGGGATTTGCTATTCTAGAGTAAGGACCATCTTACTATTTTCAGGACCGATGGGTTCTTTTGCGCCGTTCACCTGTCCTCTTGGCATTGGGTATCTTGGCCCCTTAATGATAGGCGGAGGGGCGCTGTGAGGGCCTTGGCCACCACCTTTCCCCTCTGTTGCTGGTAGCGACTGCAGTGTTCGGAACCCAGGCAAGCGGAGCCACCTTACCCAGCTCCACCAATTGCTCCCATTCACTTCTGCCCACTGTGTTTCCAAACACAGGGTAAGCATGCACCAGAATACTTTAAACGTTTAAATTGTTTGCTAGTGAAGAAGATCCTCAGAACACAGTTGTGATGTCTTCCAACCATGGCCAGGAGATGCAGATGTGTGTGCATTCAAACCACGTAGCTGCCCTGTGGTAGTTTGTTAGGCTATAGGCTCTGTAAGACTAGGGTTGTGATTGCATTCACCATCTCCATGGGCTCTCTAGTATAGAGGTCAAGAAATTAGGCTCTTCCAGAGGTAGCTACAAGGGCAGAGCTGCCTCTCTCTCCCTCTTTCTGGACAGACTGTTGGAAACCTGACTATCCCGTCTTTCCAGGGCAATGCTTTTGTTACAGTCTCTCTGTGTGACAGAGGGAGACTGATGCCCTAAGTCCTTCCTGCTACATCCCACAGCATCTGACAGTAGCTAATAATTCCCACTTAAAGTTAACCGTGGCACTTGAATTGTGTGTCTGATGCAGCACAAGTCTTATGGTGATAACAGTATATTCTGGTTTGGCATTATATAAATGTATTTTACACTGGCTCGCCGCTTTGTTCCGCAGGGGGTGGGGGAGATAGAAACCCTGAACGCTTGCCTTTTAAGTTTTGCTATCTCTAGAGCACAGTATTGGGAAGTACCGTTCCCTCACCTTCTCATTCTGTCGTGGTGCTGCAGTAGTTCTCATGGGACAAAAAGGAAAACATTTTCCTGCCTAAACTTTGTTAAGCACCTTTTGATTGGTGCTGCAAGATAATGCTGGGTTTATGTCTAAGAAGATAAAACCCGGTCAGGTTTGACACTCTTAAAAGGTGGCATTAGGTGCAAAACTTGCTTGCCTTGCCTTTCTACATTTAGGGGGAAATGTCATAATTTCCACCTTTTATCTCTCCTTTTTCATTTTTCAATTCATTGATTGCCTTCTTCTTGATGCCTCCTATAAAAACTCTAGGGACGTGGGTGGCGCTGTGGGTAAAACCTCAGCGCCTAGGACTTGCCGATCGTCAGGTCGGCGGTTTGAATCCCCGCAGCGGGGTGCGCTCCCGTTGCTCGGTCCCAGCGCCTGCCAACCTAGCAAGTTCGAAAGCACCCCTGGGTGCAAGTAGATAAATAGGGACCGCTTACCAGCGGGAAGGTAAACGGCGTTTCTGTGTGCTGCGCTGGCTCGCCAGTTGCAGCTTGTCACGCTGGCCATGTGACCCAGAAGTGTCTGCGGACAGCGCTGGCTCCCGGCCTATAGAGTGAGATGAGCGCACAACCCTAGAGTCTGTCAACACTGGCCCGTACGGGCAGGGGTACCTTTACCTTTACCTATAAAAACTCTAGCAAAACTGCATCTGCCTAGCCAAGATGTGTGCTAGATGAGTGGATTTTATAGGTTCCGTTGATTATAGCAAACTGTATTTTGGTTGGGAAATACAGATACAGGATTTAGAAAGAACACTTAACTACCGTATTTTTCGCTCTATAGGGCGCACCGGACCATGGGGTGCACCTAGTTTTTTGGGGGGAAATAAAGGGGGGAAATTTAGGGCACCGACCCCTCTCGCTCTCCAGGCTTCAGCGAAAGCCTGCATTCGTTCCATAGGACGCACACACATTTCCCCTTCATTTTTGGAGGGGGGAAAGTGCGTCCTATAGGGCGAAAAATACGGTATTTTTTAAAATTGAGAATCTGTATGTTATTAATGGCAGTTGTGGATATGCCAGTCCAGCCTGTCTCCTGGAGCTTCATCCACAGTGCACCTCTACCATGTCCTTTGTATTCATGCAAGTAGTATGTAAATTAGTCCGAACAATGGAATGTATGAGTGGATTGCTACAGCTTCAACTCATGGTAGGTTTCCACAGTGGTCCCTCATTATTAATCATTGGACCAGTCCAAAAAATGGATGCTTCCTTTGCTTTCCAGTGAACTTAGTTCCCTTACTGGGAAGACATTGGATTCCACTGTGCACACCCAGGACTTAAAAAGACTTGTGTGGTCCCAGCCATGACTCAAATGTGCACAACTTTTACCATCATAGAATTTGTAACAAACAAAACAACATGTAAATAGTTTAAAAGACAAATACTGATCTATTTCTCTGCGAATTTATTAGCGTAACTGTTAGGATTACAAAATTCATTTGCCTGCTTCAGGGACTATGTATCTGAATGGTGCTTTATGATGATAATACAACTCTTAGTTAAGGTCAATATTAAAGCCAGTTTCCTTTTTTGTTACTTAGTTTCCCAGTTCAACACTGAATTTTACATCAGTGGAATTGCACCTCTCTGTGACCAGCTTGTCATACTTTCATATGTAAAGGAGATTTCAGAGAAAACTGTAAGTATTTTTCTGCATGCAAACTTCCAAATACACACACACAAAAGTTGTGAGCCAGGCATATGGGTTTGTTAGTTGGCAAAAAGGTTCTTAAGCACTCAGACAGCAGTGTTCCACACCTGTTTGTTAGTTGGCCCCAATGTGCCCAGTGGGACTCGCCCTTGAGGGAAGTTCACAGAAAATTCCAGACTTATAGCTCTCACCACTAGGAAATACGGGCACCAAGGCTGATGGAAACGAGTCCAAAATACCATGACGGTACCATGTTGGGGGAAAATGGGCTAGTAGTAACCAAAGGGATTAAAGTTGGGTGATAGACTGTTGCAGCTACTTCATTTTACAGACAAAATAAAAAAATTCCTTCCAGTAGCACCTTAGAGACCAACAAAGTTTGTTGTTGGCATGAGCTTTCGTGTGCATGCACACTTCTTCAGATACACTGAAACAGAAGTCACCAGACCTTTATATATAGTGAGAGGGTGGGGAGGGGTATTACTCAGAAGAGTGGTGGGAATGGGTGACTGGCTGATAGGTGTAGTAAACCTGTTGACGACTCTTAACGACCGCAATTGGTCTTGCAGGAAAAAGCAAGTGGTGAGATGGCTAAAAATAGCTTTATCATGTTTGATGCATTACTGTATTTTAATATTTGGTTGGAAGCCGCCCAGAGTGGCTGGGGAAGCCCAGCCAGATGGGTGGGGTATAAATATTTATTTATTTATATTGTTGTTGTTGTTGTTATTTAATCCAATGTCTCTATTCAGACCAGGTCTCTCCATGGTTTTAAGTGTGGTAATAAGTTGCAATTCAGCAACTTCTCTTTCCTGTCTATTTCTGAAATTCTTTTGTAATAAGACAGCAACTTTGATATCTTGTACAGAATGTCCATTTTCCAGGTTAGGCTGCAGTTTTAGCTTTTGCAGTACCATAAACTCTTCACACTTAAAGTGGCTAAAGTCCATATTTTTGAGGGGTGAGGGAGGTGTTTTGCCCATCTCATAGCAAACAATGGATAGAATGCTGAAGAGCCAGAAGTTGTTCATTCCTCTGTGTTTGTTTTAAATCTTTAATCTTTTGGCACGTGTATGAACAGGAATTAAGGCTAAATTGCAGAGTGGCGCCTTGACATTGCCCATGCTCTTAAATAAAGCCTGTAAAGATGATTGGCTGCAGGTCACTCGTGTCGCTGTGAGCGATGTGAGGAGAGCAGCTGTTTGGTGCCGTTGCCTCCGTTATATGTGTCCGGCTAGACAAAGGATATATTGGATCACCAGCTCTTCTCGAGAGTGAATCTCCAGAGTCTTCACGACGCATTAGTTTAACAATACAAAATGAAAGAGAGGACGGGAAGGAAGAGGAGAAACCCTTGAAGTTACAGCATTAAGAGGGGCAGATGCTCTTGATCATCCCTTTGATAGCAAGCTGGCATTAGACAGCCATTGCTATAGTAACCTTGAGCAATGGGGTGCACACTGTTGCTAGGCAATGAAATGCCGTTGGCTCATGGTAACGCTCAAGTCTATTGAAATCAATAGGGTCAGCGTCTAGCCCTCTTGCAGGACAGCCAGATTATTATTATTTATTATTTTAAAGGAAAGGAACAAAGGTGGTTGTGCAGCTTCTCCCGAGAGAGCTAATACTGTAGTTCCTCTCTATGAGTGAGTCAAAGAAAACCGAGAGACCTTATGAAGGAGGAGGTGATGCTGGGAAATGAGAGGATGGTAGGAGGCAATTAGTAATACTAATGAGTCAGGATAAAGAAGTCTGGCCATTCAAAGTTTACCCCTGCTTTGTCAAAAAGCTGACAGGGTAGAGGTTCATTTTTCAAAGCGCTGATATGCCCTAGATAGCAACTTAGGAGATCTCTATGAGCTTGTAACGGCAGGTGTTTGGCAACAACATGGGAAGAATGAAACCGTGTTGGGGATTATTTGAGAATTCACAAGGGGAAATTATCATGAGCACATACCACCTATCACCTGCTTGCTGCTCCTTCACGGATGTTAGATTTTTTTAAAAAAAACTTTTTAACCTTGAACATGCACAGCTGAAACTTTTTATGTATAAACTGAAAAAACCAGTACTGTACCACAGTTTTTCAACAATAGGAGATATATTTGCTGGCAAGCCAGTGTTGCTCATCACATTTGCGCAAGATGGGAAAAGGCAATATTTGTGTAATGTGTGAAGCAGCTGCTATTTGTGGTATTTAAAGAGACAGATTCTGGGAATTCTCAATCTTTAACATAGTTTTAAGTAAAGGGGAATGGCTTATATAAAGATCTTCATGATTTAGTGCAGTTCTTTGAAAATTTCAAGTTTAATAGGCATTCTTCTCACATTCCAATGATGTTATGAATCCAACTGCAGAATGGAGACCTTTGTGAACATTTGTAGCCAACATTGCACTTTGTATATTGTAGACTTATGTGTAAAGAAATCCTACCAATTAAAGTTTGGCTTTCCATTCTGCCTGATTTAAGTTTTTTTTTTGTGTGTGTAAGCCAGCTGCCCGCATATATCATCAGAATCTGGCCCAATAAATTTGGTCTGGTTACAATAATGTATTTTAACAACAAATACATTATTGTAACCAGATTCTGACATGTATTACAATATAGGCAGTCAAGGAGTAAAAATCCACTCATTCCATCACAAGGATGAGAAGATTTTGTTGTTTGAATATATGTGCAGGTGGCGGTATTGATGTTGTTACAAAAAGGACTTTCTTGAGATTTATAAAGTTCAGAGGATTGTTACAGAGTCCATTTCCTTATCATGAGAGAGTGCTAGAGACATGTTTTTGAACAACCAGATGTGCAAATATGTGAGCAGAACATTTGGGGAGCAGGCAGACTCTTGTAAGCAGAGAGAGCACAACAGCTAATCCTGGATCACGTTGCCATAGAATGACATTTATGAGCCCCTGTAGCTCTGCTATTTAGGGACGCGGGTGGCGCTGTGGGTAAAAGCCTCAGCGCCTAGGGCTTGCCGATCGAAAGGTCGGCGGTTGGAATCCCCGCGGCGGGGTGCGCTCCCGTTGCTCGGTCCCAGCGCCTGCCAACCTAGCAGTTCGAAAGCACCCCCAGGTGCAAGTAGATAAATAGGGACCGCTTACTGGCGGGAAGGTAAACGGCGTTTCCGTGTGCTGCGCTGGCTCGCCAGATGCAGCTTTGTCACGCTGGCCACGTGACCCGGAAGTGTCTCCGGACAGCGCTGGCCCCTGGCCTCTTGAGTGAGATGGGCGCACAACCCCAGAGTCTGTCAAGACTGGCCCGTACGGGCAGGGGTACCTTTACCTTTACCTTTTAGCTCTGCTATGGCTGTTTCCAGTTTAGCTAACTCCTATTTAGTTCCCAGCTCAGTCTGATAATCTCTCTACCCAACTAGCACCAAATTGTTCCTCTGTCTTTTCCACTATCTGGAAGTTGTAACATCACAAAGGCATGAGATGGATTTCCATTTACTAAGGACCATTATTTTCTCTTGTTTTTCACCAGATGCCAGGTTATTCAAAACTATATAGCAGTAGGTCCGCTGACAATAATCAAGACAGCCAACCTTGTTACAACGCAAGTGATGTTTCTGTGGCTATATTAAGTGTTGGCAATAGGGAATCCAAATGAGCAGTTGGAAACCCCTGGGGCTTCTCATCTGACTCCTAGCATAAACTTTCATCCCAATGAATTGCTCCCCCTGCGCCATTATTGCACACATCAGGCAAAAGGCTTTTTAGGGAGCAGCGCAAGACATCTTCTTGAGACCCTGGGAAAATGCTGCCAGTCAAAGTGAAGGCAGCACTTGGCTAAATGGGAGCTATTTGGCTGACACAGTAGAAGACAATTCTAATTGGGGGGTTTCCATTGGCTGCTTATGCAGAAAAGAACTTGGTTGCAAAAGGATACAATTCAGACGATCCTTTCAGGTATATTAGAAAACATCAACAGGTTGTGCGCTTCAGTGCTGTGTGTGGTTTTCTTTCCCCCAGGAAAAGGAGTGTTGTTCCAGACCTAGGCTGGATATAATCCAGCCATTTCCTGAATCTTGTGAAGAAATCTCCTCCGATGCCCTAACTGTGAGGCGCTTCCAAGAAAATGAATGCCGTGATTATTGTTTGGGTGAGAAATTTGCATTATTTTATACGTTATTTTGATTATCAATTTGCGTTCAGCTCCAGGATTCCATTGTTCTGCGAAGCACAAGAAGCTAAGCGTGGAATTAGAGCATTGCTCCGGTTGTCAGGGTCGGCACGTCTAAATGTTACAGTGTTTATCGTGGATGATTTCAGCAAGAGCCTTGGAATTGGTCGCGTGGCAGTACAGTGGTGCCTCGCAAGACGAAATTAATTCGTTCCGCAAGTTTTTTCTTCTTGCGAGTTTTTCGTCTTGCGAAGCACGGTTTCCCATAGGAATGCATTGAAAATCAATCAATGCGTTCCTATGGAAACCGCCTTCAGACCAGGTCCGGGGACACTCTGTCCCCCAACCTCTTCTGAAGGCTGGGGAGGGGGGGACAAGGGCTTTTCTTCCCACCGCCAGCCTTCAGAAGGCTGTTCTGAAGGCTGGCGGTGGGAAGAAAAGCCCTTCTCCCCACCTCCCGCCCCACAAGCTCCGGGGACAGGAGGGCTTCGCTGCCGACCCCCAGCATTTTAAAAGCCCCCGGGACAGCGGAGACTTCTCCTGGACCTCTTCTGAAGGCCGGCTTTGGGCGACAGTCTTTGCTCCCCCCCGCCTGTCTTCAAAAGCCGTTGGGATAGTGGAGAAACGCACTGCGCTTCTCTGCTGTCCCGGGAAGGCAGGCGGGGGGGAGCAAAGACTTTTGCCCGCGCCGGCCTTCAGAAGAGGTCCAGGCTGGCGGTGGGCGAAAGTCTTTGCTTCCCGACCGCAGCATTTTAAAAGAGGTCCCCAGAGATTTCCCTATGGGCTTTCTTCTTGCGAAGCAAGCCCATAGGGAAATTCGTTTTGCGAAGCGCCTCCAAAATGGAAAACCCTTTCGTCTTGCAAGTTTTTTGTTTTGCGAGGCGTTCGTCTTGCGAGGCACCACTGTACTCTGAAACTGATCCCATGTATTCTTAGTTCTTCTAATGGACCAGTACATTTGTTCCTGATCTCTTAACCAGCCCCTTAAGAGAGATCAGCAAGTGTTTGCTGAGGTCCATTGTCAATGAGTGCTTTCTGTTGGTTTCATTTAGGGGTTGTTGCTGGGTTTATTTTTGGTAATGCACAAGGGTGAATTTAAGAAATACTGAGATGCAACATTAATTTACTCAGGCAAAAGGCATCCAGAACACCTGCTTTCAAAGAGGTCCAAGCTTTTACTAAGTGGTGAAATGGGTAAAATTGTTCCTGTGTCTTTTGCAGAATATTCAGAGGGTGAATCACTGTTTTATATCATCAGTCCAAGAGATGTTGTTGTGGCCAAAGAACGTGACCAGGATGACCATATTGAATGGCTCTTGGAAAAGAAGAAATATGAAGTAACTTTTGCACTTTTCTCTTTAAATTATTGTCAGTGTCAATGAGTAGGCCTCGCTGAATGTCTTGTTTTCTGTTTTATGACTTCTTAAATATAGTTCAAGTTTTTTACAGGAATTATTCCTGTGTTAATTAGAAAAAAACCCAACAGGTTTAGGTGACAGGATGGTGCCTTATCCATCCACAGCTCATTGCTGTGCATTTGCCATAGTCTTGTAGGCTAGGAGTTTGTCCCATTGAATTCAGTAGGACGTATTTATAAGCAGACATGTATATGATTGCACCATAAGCAACATATATGAGAGCAGCATCTGTTTATTCCTGAATTGTACTATTTGTGTCCTCTTTATTTTTTCTGCCCTTTAAAGTGTTCCCCCCTCTCTCTGTGATGTTTCACAACAATTAGAATTGGCAGCATTTCCTTAAAAATATATAGGTTGATTGCCTTAAAAGAATGAAACTGTCCACCAGATGTATGACTGGAGAATTTCTCTCTCTCTCTCTCTCTCTCTCTCTCTCTCTCTGTGTGTGTGTGTGTGTGTGTGTGTGTGTGAGAGAGAGAGAGAGAGAGAGAGAGAGAGAGAGACTAAAATCAGAGTGGAGTTATTTGGGAATTACTTTCACTTGCTTATCAGAACAGACCAATAGTCTGTTGTCCTAGAGAAATCCTTCATATACATGAGAGTGACCCCATTAAACCCAGTGGGACTTACTTCTAAATAGACCTGCATTGGATTAGGAGTTCTAATTTGAGATAACCATGGTGAAAAATGGAGGCAGGGTGATTCTCTGTTCCAGTTTAGTTCATCCAGAACACTTTTGCTCTGAGCTCCACCATCAGAGCCCAGCAGGACAAAAAGATTGCATACCCGTCTAAAGGCTTAACAGTTGTCGGAAGTGCTGAGCAGTGGTTGCAAGCAGTCAAAATGAGTATGAAAATTAAAGTTAATTCCTGATGTTGCATACTTATTTCGTTTTAATCTCTTAAGTTTATTTGAGATGTTGCGGTGCGCTAGCTGTCCTCAGCGCAGATTGCGTTCGTCAGCGTTCGAATCCCCGTGGCGGGGTTTCCTGCTGCTCGGTCCCGCGCCTGCAACCTACAGCATTTTGAAGCACCCCGGGTGCAAGAGATAATGGAGCCTTTCTAGTGGGAAGGAAACGGGAGTCCGTGTGTGCGCGGCTGGCTCACCAGAGCAGCTTTGTCAGTGCATTTAGACCCGGAAGTCTCTTCGACGGCGCTGGCACTCGCTATAGAGTGAGATGACGCACAACCTAGAGTCTGTCAAGACTGGCCATATGTGAGCAGAGGTACCTTTACCTTACTAACCTTTAAGTTTATTGACTGCATTAATACAGCACTTTAGCTCAGAATCCAGCTTGTGTTAAGGAGTTGGGGGCTCATCAATTATCTGTTAGGCTTCATTATCAAGAAAAGAGAACTGAATTATGTGATTAACACCTATGCAACATTTAAGGTATTCAGTTCCCTTTAAGACTGGGTTCCCCAGGAAAAACGTGGTAGTTTCTAACACAGGTTTTTGTTATGAAGTCTGTGAAACTCTCTTATGCTGTGAATAACTACAGTACAAGTAAATAAAGGGATCAGACACATGCTTCTGTTCCCGTTTGTTATAGTCTCATTTGCGTTTCACTCTGAAAACGTTCAAGTGGGTTAATTCTTCCCAAGGCGTATATGCAAGTTGGTCCACGTTGAACGTCATTATGCACGAAGCACTGTTTCATTGGATTGGAAAGGCTTTCAGGCATATTCCACAGAAAGCCCTTTGTTTAATAGTCAGGGAATAGCTTGTGTTGTAACCCACATTAAGCTTTCACTTTTCATTTTGGGTAGCAAGAAGGTAGCTCTATTTCTGCACACAGGAGATGCCAGCTCAGTGGATAAGCCACAAATTAAACTTAATGAAAAATCATTCTCTTACTGGTGGTGGATTTATTCTTTGTCTTTTAGTTGAGCACTCAGAAAACAAATCAAGGTACTTTTTTTGACAGGTGTCTTTACAGCAGAGACTTTTTTGCTGGGAAATGAACTTCTGTGATTGTACCTCATACGGTGCCATCCTCCCGAAATTTGATCTTGATGCACTAATGTGGAGTGAACCCAGATGGAACCCAAGATTTTTTCTCCCCTTTCTTTTTAACAATTGCTTTTGTTTGAGTATGAATTCAAAGCTGTTCATTCGACCATGACATTAAACGTTCTAGTGCTTTCAAACACAAGGCACAAGAAACAAAGCCACACTTTTCCAGATTTCTCTACAGAAGTTTTGAATACTTGACTCGGGTGTCATCTCTGCTTGTATTTATATAGGAGGCTTTGATGGCAGCTGAGATCAGCCAGAAGACCATGAAAAAACACAAGATTCAGGTAAGTCTGCAAACTGGATTTGAATTCTTTAAAGAAAAAGGAGGAACACAAAAGGCTCCTGACCTTTCAGAAATAAATTAATAGTTTCTCTCTGCGCTAAGCGAGGCCGAAGGTTGCATGTATGGGTGTTTTGTGTCTAGTCTCCCCCCGCCCCATTCCATTTGTAACATCTAGTAGCACTTAACTTGCCCCCTGATGTCAAAGTGCCCCCACGTTTCTCTTCCCTCTGGGGTGTGGGGCTGTGGTAGGGAAATACCAGTATCGGGATGCAGATAAATTGCATATGTCACGGTAGGAGAGGGTTTCGCCCAAGAACAGATCATAGTCACTGCCCAGTCAACCTTATTACGTACACTGTTTATCTTAGGGACACACTCAGCCAGTTTAATTTGCCACTCTAAACCTAAGGGCATCCCAAGCAGAGTTTGAGCCAGGGCTTGTAAGTTTTCACTATGGAGTGCATGACTCAGTCCCAGGGTCACGAAGCAGAACATGCTTCTAAGCCTATGCAAACGAAACAGAAACGAAAACTTTGCCACTTGGCCAATATGGTCTGTTCTGCGTGTGAAATTGCCGTATTTTTTGCTCTATAAGACACACTTTTCCCCTCCTAAAAAGTAAGGGGGGGATGTGTGTGCATCTTATGGAGCGAACGCAGGCGGGAGGCTCTGCTTAGCGCTCCCTTTAAAGAGCCGTGTGGAGCACGTGTGCAGCTCTTGGAGGCTTTTCCTTGAGGAGGGAGTGCGGCTCTTGGGGGAGCCTTAGCCGCTCGCAGCCTCTCTTGGGCAGGGGATGAAGGCTCCCCATGCCCGGGAGAGGCTGTGCGCTGCTAAGTAAGAAGCCAGGACAGCCAGCGGGATCGCTGGGATTCAGATTCCCCCCCCCCCTATTTTCCTCTTCCAAAAAACTAGGTGCATCTTATGGTCTGGTGCGTCTTATAGCTCGAAAAATACGGTAGTTTCTAGGTCAGGATTTTGCTTTGAGCCTCATAACTCTTTTACCTTTTCCTCTGGGATTGAGAGTGAGAGAATGAGAGAGAGTTTTGGCTGCTGTTGCCCGCCTCAACTTCATGATCAGAGCTCTGGGCATTCAGGGTCCCACGCATTCCATAATCACAAGGCTACCGTAATTTCTGTGCTTATATTTGTATTTGATGTTTTTCCCCATTATAAATTAAAGTTAAATGTTTCTCAGGCTTTCAGTGAAGCAAGTACTGGAACAGAAATACTGTTTGTTGTTGTTGTTGTTTTTTAAAAAGAAACCCAGTTTGCACTACTTTTAACTACCTGGATGTTTGTTCCCTCCACCCACCCTTTTCCTGTGTAAACGTATCATGCTACAGAAATGAGAAGTAATGTGTTAAGAACAAAAACATTTTTCTAAGCATACTAGAAAGTTGCAAACTAGTAAAATGGAAAATGATATTGGTATAGAAATGTAATAAATAGTAATGATTATCCAGAGGAGGAATAGTGGCATTTAGTCCAATATGATCAGATGTTGGACAGGGATTGCTCTCCAGATGTTGTGGTTTCCTCCAGACATTACTGGATTACATCGGCTTCTCCTGATTTAAGATGGTTCAGAAAGCAGAATGGAATGTTATCTTAGTAACCAACAGCAAGGAACTTGTGGCCCTGCAGATGTCGTTGCGCCAACTTCCCTCATCCCTGGTCATGGAGACTGGGGATCATGCCATGTGGAGCCCAGTTACACCTGGGGGACCACAGTTTTCACATCCCTGTTATATAAGCATTCATGAACAATAACACTTCATGGTTTAGACCAGCCTTTCTCAACCTTGAGTCCCCACCATCCCTGACCACTGGTCCTAGGAATGATGGGAGTTGTAGTCCAGCAACTTTGTGAAAGGCTGGTGTGGATTGATCCTCTCTATTAATGCCCTACACCTCGGCAAGTCTTTCTTTCTTTCTTTCTTTCTTTCTTTCTTTCTTTCTTTCTTTCTTTCTGCTGCTGCATCACTTTCCCAACACAGGAGAATTATTACCCAAGAGCTGGGAGGGACAGGAAGATAATAGAAACAAGACCAAGAAGAATATCATCTGATTTGCGCCTATATTTAAAACCTGTAAATTCAAAAATTTTTAAAATGCTCTTTATAGTAAGCCCTTTGATCATTCACAAACAAGCATATTTGTTACCAAGGAATTAGAAACCCTGAAAAAATACATGCTGGTATTTGATCTAAAGTCACTTGAATACAAATGCCAGACACTTGGCTGTGGAAGGATGTGTGCAATTCTTAGATGTACTTTTAACTAATTGGATTTTATTTTCACCCCAGGATATAGGTTTGGCCTACATAAACCATCTGATGGAAATTGGAGAGTATGACCTGGCAGCACGGTAATATGTTTAGCTTGAATGCATTGGGGCACAATTGTGTGCACCTCTGTGATTGTGTGCACTGTTTGTGTGTGCAAGCTGTACACATGGCTGGTAATATTATCTGGATTATTCTGAAACGTTGCATGTTTGCTTACCCAGATGAATGTTAGTATGCTTTTGATGTAGGTGACAATGACTTAGGTTTAATGCACATAACCTCCTACTTAGGTGGGCTCCCCCAGTTTGTTTTGTTTTTGCTCTTTGGGCTCCCTCCTTGTGCTAAATGGTTCTGAGGTTAAGTGTCCAAGAATTGTTGGAGCTCCGTGTACTTTCAGCAGGCTGCAGGAGCCCTTGTGCATGTTGGGCTCTGGATTATGGTCACCGACTTTATGTTCTGAACAGTGACCTAAGCCAGAATTAGAAGCAATACAATAAAGGATCCCAAATAACTTGGAGGTTGTTACACAAATGGTGCTGCTGTGCATAGATGGAAGATGCTTTAGAAATGGCAACCTGATTTATGAGCCTCTTCTCCCTTCTATATACCAGAAAATGCCAGAAAATACTTGGCAAGAACACAGATCTCTGGGAATTTGAGGTGCACAGGTTTAAAGAAATTGGACAACTTAAGGTATGTAGAGTCATATATTTTTCGAGGAATTTCTCTGGCTGGTTATGTCAGTTCATAGAGCCACGTGCCAGGATTATATGCACGTGGCGAAGTGTGACTGAACGCACTTCTTCACCATGCGCATAAGCTAATGTCTGGCTAGTGTGAGCATTATACCCTTTTACAACATCGGAATATAGGCTTTTCCACATTTCCCCCCACCCCGTTTTCCATGAAAGAACGTTCACATTCCTAGTACATGTGCCACATGTTACCTTGCCCACATGGGAGGTTTGTGTGTATCTGCATAGTCCTCCATCATGTATACAAAATCCCTTCTTAGGTGAGTGTGTGAGCAGAGTTAAGAAATAGCATCATGTAACTTTTGATTCCAAAACATAACAGATTGGTATTCGTTGCCACATGGAAAGCTTGGCACAATATGCTGCAAAACTGTTCCTGAAGTTTAAAATGCAGCAAGATGCACAGTTTTCCGGATCTTGTACAATATGTTACATGTTAGTAGTAGTGACTAACAGCCAAACTGCACCCCCTCCCAGGTTGAAGTGTACCCCTTTTCCTTCCTCGCAGAGTTGTATTTGTTCACAAAAGCCCCTGCTTGGAAGAAGAGAGCAGAGACGGTCTCTGTGACTCACTTCTTTTGCGCATCCTTTGACTCATTAGTAACAGCACCAAGAAATAATTACGTTTCAGGCAAACAGATGGCTGTTCTGTTGTGCACTACAAAAGATAGGAGGGAGAGGGAAGAATTCTGCCACTTTCTGTGCCTTGCTAGCATAGCAAACCAAGTAATCTAATGGAGCATGTTTGTTAGCAAGCTTTTAAGTTAATAAATTGCCCGTGGCATACAGCTAAAGGACTGTCACTTCCAGAGCAGTAGAAAGCATTTATGCACATGCCCTTTAATAACATATACACATTTTCTTTCCGAGTTTTATGCTTTCCTATTCAAAGTCGATGAGCCAAAAGGGGCATATTATTAAGATCTCGCAGCAGGTGGCCCCTTGCTGCTTTTTGAGCTGTTAAATTCTGTTCAGGAGTGTGGAGGTGTTGCAACATTGCGGCTTGTCTTGTAGCATCTGCCTTCCTATGGAATTAAAGAGACAACAGCACGACTTGCGGGTTTTTAGAGGTTTGGTGTGTACTTTGCCACATTGGAAGATAACCTCTCAAGTCCGTTTGCCTCTATTTCGCTTCAATAAGGGTCTTCAGAATGTGTATAGGTAAAATTGTGATGTGCTGCTTTCACCATCACCACTCCCTCCTGAATTTATTTCCTGCCTGGATGTGAATGTTGAGCAGATGTCTCCACTTATGCCATCCAGCAGACTGTAAAATTTAGAAAATATTCGCAGGCTTTCCAAAAAGCCTCTCTGTTAAATTACTGCCTTTCTAAACAGGTGGTTGTTTTCACCTTTCTGAAAGCAGATCACAGAAAGACAGGAGATGCTGTGCAATAAAGCTCCTCTCTTGTAAGCTGCAATGTTAACATCTGCTGCTCTTATCCCTCTTGCAGTGATTCTAATCTACCTTGAGCCACTATGGTTCCGTGGTGACGTAGTCAACAAGTGCTAGGATCTGTCATGTGCATCCAGTTTAATCACATAACAGGGTCCTCAAAATGTGTCTGGGCTGCAAGTTAGTTTGCTCCTGCTGCTAATTTTTTTCTTTTTTTCTTTTTCTTTTACTTGGATCACTTAAAAGCCCCTGAAAAAAAAGAGTTATATCTGGTTATTGACCCCCTTCCATGCTGCTTTGGAAATGCATTCTGTGTCAGAATATAGTTGGGCTCAGATTTGGACAAAAGATACTATTTGCTTTCTTTTACCCTCTTAAGCATCACTTTTTTTCCTGGCCAAAATCCCTCCCCAGAAACTGTACAAGGGCCCATTCATAGGCATGGAAACAGGGAGTCATGTGCCCTTTTCTAGGTTTGTTCTCCGGTATAATCGCTTCCCTTACTAGAGATGAGCTCAGTTTCCTTAAGGAAAAAACCCAAAATGCCTTAGGACTTCAGTCAAGCCTACCCTCTTTTCCTCCCCCCCCCCATTTAAATGCAACCCCATTTACCTGAATGTGTTAGGTGTTCTTTGGACCAATTGGGATAAATTTTATTGCACAGCTCTTTCAAAATTGCCACCGGTATAATTTTTCACTACTTCTGTTGAGAACGCTCTCAGAATGTCTTGATGCTGGTAGCGTTTTACCGCATTCTAGTTTTCCATAGCAATTTGAGGAGTCACACACACACACTCACAAAATTTTGTTCTCCCTCAAATGCAAGGCTTGAGCCTCTTTTGTTCCGTTTCCTCTCATAGGCGATTAGCCGCTATTTGCCAAGACGGGATTCAGTCCTGAAGCCTTTTATCTATGAAATGGTCCTACATGAATTTCTGGAAAGCGACTATGAGGTACCACATTATCTCTCTTGAATGCCATTGACAGGGAAGAGCAGCTAGCAGCGCAGTGGTGAAGCAGAGATTGGGGTGAGGCATAGCAGCTGTCACAAAGATACATGGCTGTCACACAACCAACAGTGAGCGTCAGCACTGTGAGCCAGGCAAGGATCTTGTAAGGACACAGCAGCCAGTATAATTTCATGTGGCCAGCAGCTGCCACTCTGCTTCCTGGTATAGCACAATGGTGCAGTTCACAGCTGCTGCTCTCGTTACATTCACCCAGAGTCCTTGATGCCGTCACAGCTATGTATATCCTACGTAGAGTACCCTTAAAGCAGTGTAAGATCAGCGGGCTGCATTCAGCCAATGAAGAATTTCTCCCTTGAAAAACTGGCAGTGACCCATCCCACATGAAAAAACCTTTGCAGTCTGGATGCTTGCAAGAGCTCTTGCATGGTCCGTCCTTCCCACTTCACGCAGTACCACTTGCACTCTAAGGCAATATAAAAATGCAAGAATGCCATTAATTGGTTCGTTCATATGCAACCATGTAAAAATCCCAGAGCAGTTTATGTCATAAAACCTCGAAATGCGAAAGAATCCACTCAACATATTCAATTTGAATTCTGCACCAGTCTCCAGCAACCTCGTTCCCTCCAGATATTGTTGGCCTACAACTCCCATCAGCCTTTGCTGGCTAGTGCTGATGGGAGTTGTAGGCCAACAGTGTGTGCAGGGAGGGCACCACGTTGCCAAAGGCTGCCGTACGGTATTATCCGGTATACAGAAGAATACTGCAAAACATAGGAGTGTTCAGGAAGCTGTTTGACTGCAGGCTGGAATAGGCAACAGTTTATATAAATTTGTTGAGTTATCTGTTTTACTAAATGAAAAACGGCTGTGTTGCATTTGTGCCGCAAACAGCACAATAGTCTCCAAAGTACTTGCAGGTTAACTTCAGCAGTGATAAGAGAAAACAAAGGGAACTGTAAAATGAGCAAATAAATGCATGAATAATCAATGACCTGCTCTTCCATGGTCTTGGGAGTGTATTATCTTATAACTATTCTGGGAGAATTGAAATAAGCAGAATATTACTTTCTTCCTCTGTTCAATTATTCTAAAGTGTGACAATTTAGTTCCACTTCGTTATTCATAATAGTAAAGGTAACATCTCCATACTCTCTGGATTCTATATTTGAAAAATGTCAAATGTCTTGGTAATTTAAGCACCCCAGAATAGAGGGGGTGGGGAATGGAAAACACTTTCGTTTGTTCAATAGCAGGCTCTCCTTTATATATTCCTGCACATAAATCACCTTGGGTCAATACAACCAAACACTTACTAAAGGTATCTTACCAGAGGATGAAGGGAACCACTTCATGATCCAGATAGATAGATCTCGCCCAACTTGTGTGGTGAACAGAGTTTTATAGCACTTCAGCACTTGAAATCCTGGGAAACGGAGTGGTATGGCTATTATCACCACTTGGGAAGATCTTCAACTTTTTAGGCAATAGCTTTGCTTTTTTTAAAGTTTGCATTCACCGGTTGATGAATGATGACTGATTTTTTTTCCATTTCAAGGGTTTTGCAACATTAATTAAGGAGTGGCCTGGGAACCTTTATAACAATGCAATCATTGTCCAAGCAGTGGTGGATCATCTGAAGAAAGATCCACAGAACAGGACTTTGCTGAAAACGCTTGCAGAGTTGTAAGTCTATACAGTCATACCTCGGGTTGAATATGCTTCAGGTTGAGCGTTTTCAGGTTACGCTCCCTGGCGACCCGGAAGTAACGGAACGCGTTACTTCCGGGTTTCGTCGCATGCACAGGTGCTCAAAATGACGTCACACGCATGCACAGAAGCGGCGAATCGCAACCTGCACACGCGCAGACGCATGTTGCATTCACTTCAGGGTACGAACGGGACTCCAGAACGGATCGTGTTCGCATCCAGAGGTACCACTGTAATGCATTTGAACGGCTGCCCTGAGAGATTGTTTCACTGTTTCTGTTCTTTAAAGAACTGAGCATGTTTAACTACAGTTCCCTTCCTTGGATCATCAGGGTTTAACACCTTTATCTCTACAGAGAATTAGTTTGTGCTTCTCCCACCCCTTATTTCACAGTAGCTGGGCAGGTTTGCATCCTTCTCTCTCTCTCTCTCTCTCTCTCTCTCTCTCTCTCTCTCTCTCTCTCTCTCTTTCTCTCTGTGTGTGTGATCTGTTGCACTAGGGAAAGCAGAATAGAATGTGTCATAAGGAAGCCATTTTTAAAATTGAAATTAGCCTTGGTGTGTATTACTTAAGGGGTATTTTGCAAGGTACGGGAGGGACAGAGTCTCAGACTGGGGCACCCAGAAACCAGAACCTTCTGCACCTTCCTTCCTTGTGTCGCTGGTGTTCTGCACCCCTTGCAAACGAGGGTAGGTGCTGCCATATGGGGCACCCCATGGGCATGAACACTGGCATGTATCCTGCCAATCAGCTCATACCAGAACCCATGAAGCCCTAACATTCATGCCAGCTCTTTGCTGAGCACCTTGTCATTGGCAGGACCTGCCTCATCCATCCCTCCTTCCTTGCCAACCTTCTTCACAACCTGAGCACCACTCTCTCTGAGATCACATCCTCAGCCTTTTGCATCTTCGCCTGTTTTCAATGGAGCCGGACACTGAGCGATGGAAGCAGTGGGAGAACCCTCTTGCTTTATTTTGTTTTTACACATGGAAGCGTGGTTTCCTTCTCTCCCCTTTCTGAGTATCTCGGCCAGTCCTCAGGCCAAGTGCAGTCACTTGACAGTTGCCCCTCATGTTGGCCTGGCTCACACATTTTGGTAAGCCAAACTGTGGCTTACTGGGACCACATGAACATTTGGGCTCCCAGAGAGAAGCTTGCTGCCATTTTGCTCTTGGCAAGCCTTTTTCACTCCCATACTGTAATAATAATAATAATTAAAAATAATTTATTATTTGTACCCCGCCCATCTGGCTGGGTTTCCCCAGCCACTCTGGGCGGCTTCCACATAAACCAAAAATACACTAAAATGTCACACATTAAAAACTTCCCTGAACAGAGCTGCCTTAAGATGTCTTCTGAATGTCAGGTAGTTGTTTATCGCTTTGACATCTGGTGGGAGGGTGTTCCACAGGGCGGGGGCCACTACCGAGAAGGCCCTCTGCCTGGTTCCCTGTAGCTTTGCTTCTCGCAATGAGGGAACCGCCAGAAGGCCCTCGGCGCTGGACCTCAGCGTCCAGGCAGAACGATGGGGGTGGAGACGCTCCGTCAGGTATACTGGTATACTGTACTGAGCTAAGCCAAGGTTTGACTCTGCGTGTCATCCCAACCCAGTCTTGTAGCTAAGCTTTCTCCTTCCTGACCATGAGCTGCAGCCCAGATTTATTTGCATGGTTCCAGGAAGCCATAGTTTGGTTTACTGTGACGTATGAACCAGGTCATTGTGTTCCCACCGCACCCCTACCCAAAAGAAAGCCTAAGGATGTCTAGGTGAAAGGAAATACACCCCTACAAATATCCCTTTGTTGAATGCAATTCTTCACCGTTTGTGTGAAGGTTGTGGCAACCTCTGAAATGTTTCTTAATGAGAAGATGGGCCCTGGGTTATGGGTCATTGGTGTCCAGTACACAAGAACAATGAAGAACCGAGAATTGCATCCAATTACTTTTCTAATACATATATATATATATATAAGGAAGAAAAGTATTTTTCCATTATTCTAAATGATGGCCCAATGTTTAAGCAATTTGTGTCAAGCTTTTAGCAAAACTGTGATTTCCGTGCTGGTGGATGACTTTTTCAAAAGGCCCACATCTAGGTCTATTCAAAACGTATGATCCTCTTTTTCAGGTACACCTATGACCAACGCTACGGAAAGGCCCTTGAAATTTATCTCACACTGAGACATAAAGATGTTTTCCAGCTGATCCACAAACACAATCTTTTCAGCTCCATCAGGGACAAAATTGTTCTGCTAATGGAGTTTGATTCAGAGGTATGATGGCTTTAAAGTGGTGGGGTTTTTTTTATATACTCTTGGCTGTAAGAATTTTAGCAGATAGGAAAAAATATTATTTAACCAAGTGAACTTCATATTTTGGATAAACTGATGTGTGAGAATGTCGACACCAAATGGCTAAATTGGTTATATTTTCACAAAAAACTTTTTACAGTGAGTTTGTTTTTACCCTAATGCTTTTGGGGGGAAACCTTTATTGTTTGACATTAAGGAAAAGAAAATAGTCATATAACCTTGGGGAAATCATATTTTGTGTTATTTGCATCCATAAATCTAGGTGGAAGAGCCAAATATAACAGCAGGAATCCAGACATTGTGAAATTTGAAATAGGTCCTTTTTGAAGATCCCTATAACCTTTTCCCCAAAATATGTCACTTAATGAACCAAAGTGCTAATTGTTTGAAGAAACAGTTCTAATTTAGCACACATCACACATGCAGTGTAGATATTCTCGCCATTTCCCCAATTTTCCGTTGGCTAATCTACTTGTGAAAGCTCTCCATTCTTTAACCTGTGCTCAAAAAATAAAGTTGTATGTCTGGAAAAAAATCCTCTTTGCTTTCGATCAGTTGACCAAAAAACTCTCAAGTGTTGGAAAAGCTTTGGACAGGGAGCGTCAGAGGCATTGAGCATTGGAACCTGCATTCATTTATGTGACAGCAGCTGTTTCTTAAGTCTTAAGGCAGATGTAAGCATTTAAAATAGGACCAACTCTGGCAGTATCTAGATGTTGTAGACTACAACTCCCATCACTGTTTCCCGGTTGAGCCATTCACTTCTAACTGCAGTGAAAAGAGCACTGCAATAATGAGTTGTGCAGATCTTCAGCCCCCCCTTCCTAAGGGTGAACATAGCCTGAGGAGGCATCAGAGGCATGAACCACTAAATATTGCGTTTAGTTTAATAGGAGTTTACACAGAGAATTTCCATTGTTATGGCTTTCACCTTTAATACGTGTTCTGTATGCCTATATAGATCCAGCACATGTGACACTCTTCCACTGCCAGCCAAATTCCGGAAAGCATTTTGCATTCTCATCAAGCACCATCTGTCTTCGCTGGCTGTGGAAGCCCCACATATGCCGGGGCTTGTAGCCATATTGTAATACAACCAGCAAGCATCTTGTTCTTCCACCGACAGTCCTGCTGTCTCCTTCCCAACACACACTATAAACTGCATAGCATTTTTTTCTTTTTCATAAGACAGAGCAAGTTTGTTCAGAATCTGTATGTACATATAACTGTGTTAAATTGTGATTTTACATATCTCTTATCTGCCATGGGCATTTTGTTTGTTTTAGAAAGCAGTTGACATGCTTTTGGATAATGAAGACAAGATCTCTGTGAGTACAACCATTTCGTTATGTTTTGGCTGGCTACTTCCTATCCCTCTCTGTGAGCAAGAGATTTGGTCCAGAAGCCAACTTTTCTTATATTTTCGTATCTTATCTCTTTTTCGTTTTAGATTGATAAAGTGGTGGAAGAATTAAAAAACAGGCCTGAACTGCAGCATGTGGTAAGTGGTGGTTTAAGGTTTCCATGCAGATATCAACAGGTGTGTTCCTGGTGCAATCAGAGGCATGAACTGATAAATATCCTCAATGGCAACTGAACAGGTCTCCAACTTCCAACAGCGGTGTTGCAATTGGCGTGGGGGAGAATACTTTCATAACTGACACTCAAAAGACGCTGGTTGTGGGGAGACATTTCATTAGTCACGTCAGTAAGGAACCACACTGAGTAAAATAAATGGTTTGCCCACAAAATCTGTGCTCGCTAGGCCCTCTATAGCAGGGCAGCCCAACTTTTCATACCAAGTGGGCTGCGAGAGTACCTCGATGTGGAACCCGCAGGACACCCTTGTCAGGAAGGTGGGGAAGCACAAGGTCATTTGACTCATGCTGCCTTCCCAAAACAGGATAAGTGAGGCACTGGGCTTTGGAAAGGAGGTGTGAGGCTCTGGCAGGGTCCTAGAGCCCTTCCACCCTCTTCTCAAAGGTAAAGGTAAAGGGACCCCTGACCATTAGGTCCAGTCGTGGCCGACTCTGGGGTTGCGGCGCTCATCTCGCTTTATTGGCTGAGGGAGCCGGCGTACAGCTTCCGGGTCATGTGGCCAGCATGACTAAGCTGCTTCTGGCGAACCAGAGCAGCGCACGGAAACGCCGTTTACCTTCCCGCCGGAGCGGTACCTATTTATCTACTTGCACTTTGACGTGCTTTCGAACTGCTAGGTTGGCAGGAGCAGGGACCAAGCAACGGGAGCTCACCCCGTCGCGGGGATTCGAACCGCTGACCTTCTGATCGGCAAGTCCTAGGCTCTGTGGTTTAACCCACAGCGCCACCTGCGTCCCTTTCTTCTCAAAGCTGGGAAAGTGCTAAGTAGGCTTTGGAGGTTGAAGGACTCTAGGACCCTATCAGAGCTTCTTTCCTACTTCCCAAATCCCAGCACCTCTCTTACCTGGCTTACCTGGGAAGGCAGCACAAGAGCTGTGGGGGCCTGTGGGTCAAATGTTGCCGAGGGCAGCCAAAAAAAAAGGCCTTGAGGGCCGAATGCGGCTCCTGGGCTGCGTGTTGGACCACCCGGCTCTGTAGTAAAACAGCTGTCCATGCTCCCAAGAGAAGTAAGATTTATCACTGTATGAATCGAAAACACTTCAGGACTAGCCTAGCAAAAAGCCTCCCTCCTGTCCTGTGTGTGTTCTGTTATAGCTCCCAATATATACCAAGGACAGGCCTGTGCATCAGCAACAGATGTTAAGGCATCACTGTTGCAAAGTGAAATATTTTCAGAGGCTGCTCCTTTCAAGAGTATTATAAGACCTTCCACTTCAAGCTGTCTTTTGTGGCTTAGGAGCAGGGGGCAGACAAGATGAGCTTTGCGTGGTTCCAGGGTACGATTCAGGGTACGGATCCTTTCCTGGACCAGGAGTGGAGGGTGAGAGGCGTGTTTAACTATCCTCCACTGATTCTCCCTTTCAAATGCCAACCGCTCCCATCTCCTCTGGCCATTGGCTGTGCTGGCTGGGGGCTGATGGGAGTTGGAGACCAGCAACCTCTTGAGTCCAGTGTGCAAGCTGCATTTGCAGCTAGATTTGCTCCTGGTTTCAGAGGAATAAAGTAGTGCCTGGAGTGAAGTTATTTGTGAAAAGAATTGCTAGGGCTGGGGAAAGTTGAGCAGCTCTTTCCCACTATGGATGATTTGCTGCAATCTCCCCCCACCACAAACACACCATCACTTCATTCCCCATGTTGGTATCGGTCAGCAATGCTAGAGGGGTCTGTAACACCTGGACACAGTAGTATTTTACCCCGTTTCCTTGGGGAATTGCACTTCTGGAGCGGCAGGTCTTGGGTCAGGTGTTAAGATAAGATTAGTCTGGAGCACCTGTTTGGTCCTGTGGCCATATATATATCCAGAATGCGGCAGCTAGACTGGTGACTGGGGGCGGCCGCCGAGACCATATAACACCGGTCTTGAAAGACCTACATTGGCTCCCGGTATGTTTCCGAGCACAATTCAAAGTGTTGGTGCTGACCTTTAAAGCCCTAAACGGCCTCAGTCCAGTATACCTGAAGGAGCGTCTCCACCCCCATCATTCTGCCCGGACGCTGAGGTCCAGCGCCGAGGGCCTTCTGGCAGTTCCCTCATTGCGAGAAGCAAAGCTACAGGGAACCAGGCAGAGGGCCTTCTCGGTACTGGCGCCCGCCCTGTGGAACGCCCTTCCAGCAGATGTCAAAGCGATAAACAACTACCTGACATTCAGAAGACATCTTAAGGCAGCCCTTAAGGTTCAGGGAAGTTTTTAACGTGTGATATTTTAGTGTATTCCTGGTTTCGATGGAAGCCTCCCAGAGTGGCTGGGGAGGCCCAGCCAGATGGGCGGGGTATAAATAATAAATTATTATTATTATTATTAATCATGGATGTTTCTGTTTTTCCGTTCTTTGGGTTGATTTTGTAGTACCTGCACAAGCTGTTCAAGAGAGACCATCACAAAGGACAAAAGTACCATGAGAAACAGATCAGTCTGTATGCTGAATATGACCGGCCAAATTTACTTCCGTTTCTCAGAGACAGCACTCATTGCCCTTTAGAAAAGGTGAGGAAAAATCATTTAAATGTATCTTTTCCCCCTCTCTATTATCTTTGATAAATATTAAAGCTGTTGGTTATTTAGCAGTGGGTTTGGGGGAGTTCTTTTTCTCATTTTCTTTTCCTTCTTCTTTTTCCAGTTGCAAGGTTCCCCCATCCCACCCACCCATGTCTTTGGCCATAGGCGCCGACTCCATGGGGCCTGAGGGGGCTCGAGCCCCCTCAAAAATTTTTTTTGGGGGGCTCAGCCCCCCAATAATCTCGGGCGCCCTTCCAGCAGAGCGCCGCCGCCGTCCCCCGCCTCCTCCCCACCTGCTCCCTCGCCAGCCAGCCAGCCAGCCACGCGCCCTAGTCGGAGAGCCCCGGCCGTCCCCCGCGAGATTAGGGAATCCCCGGGGGCGGGGGCTCCTGCCTCGCTGCTTCGCAGCACCACCGCCACTGCCAAGGCACTGCCGGGGGGAATTTCCTTCCTCCTGGCCCCTGCGAGAACAGGGGAATCCCGACTGGCCACACCTCCCAGCCAGCCGATTGGCTGGCTGGGGGGGCGTGGCTTGCCCTATTTAGGGCCGGAGCCACTTTATTTGCATATTCATGAGCTTATTTATTATTCATGAGCTTTCCCGGGCCCCCCCCCCAATATTTTTTATAAGTCCGCGTCCCTGTCTTTGGCACATTTTAGTTGATCTCAACAAAACTGTTACCAACTGTGGCTTTTCAGTTTGCAATTGTGACCCGACTTATTCTGGCTACTCTGTGTGTTATGCTGCCATCTGCTGGACAGCATGAAAACCACCTTGGTTTAGATCTTGACTTTAAGTACCATGATGATGACTCAGACACGTTTTTCATCCTGTTCTTAATTTTAATATTATTTGAGGTTTTTAATAGTTATTTCCCCCCCACCCCGATTTTTGTTCACTCCATCAGATGTTTTGGTTACAATTATGACAGGTGTTTGTTGGGTGAGCGTGGAATGAAATGTTGATGAAATGCAAGAATTTATCTGTCTGGGCAAGGGACATGTTTATTATTGTAGGGACAACCTAGGCGTCTCACCCCAAGTCAGACCAGTGGTCTTTCCAGTTCAGTATTGTCTACATGCGGTGTTTCTCAAACCCTGGGTCGCCAGCTGCTGTTGGACTACAACTCCCATCATCCTTAGCTATCAGGACCAGTGGTCAGGGATGATGGGAACTGTAGTCCAAAAGCAGCTGGGGACCAAAGTTTGAGAAACACAATGCATGACAGCTGTTCTGCAGGCCTTCAGTCGCAGACCTACCTGGAGATACCAGGGACTGAACCTGCGGCCTATCAGCATGCAGAACGAAAGCTCTGCCACTGAGCTATAGCCCCGGTAATTAATCACGTAGGCATGCAGCCCCTTTGCCCAAGGAGCTCATACATGGTGGCCATCCTATTCCATTTCCACAGCAGCCTCTTGAGGCATACAAGGGATAGAGAACGTCTGGCTCAATTATGCTTCACAGACTAGCATTAAACTGTGGGGTGTCAGATTTCCTTTCCACATTTAGGAAGGCAAGCATTAGCTTCTGTACATGGAGATTGATAAAAAAAAAATTCAGGAGATTCTGTCGTTACGAAATATACTTTAGAAAACCTTTATTTGGGGAACAATGCATGATTTAATGTGCTTGTTTCATTCTTTGGTAGTGTTGTTCTTTAAGAAACTCAAGCAGATATTGGCTGTAATTACTTTTCTTTTATTCTTAGTCCAGATTTTTATAAATATTTACCGTTTCTGTTACATGAATTATGTGCCTTTATAGAAAAGTACTTTGGGAGCACTGGTGATATTTTCCGGCTGTTATTCCACTGGACTCGGTGCGACTTATTTCTGAGTAAACGGGTACAGGGGCTGTGCTGCTAATTTACGGCAGAGACAGGCTGGTTGATAACTTAAGTTGTGGTCATATTAATTTTCTCCTTTTGAAATCCCAGGCTCTTGAAATCTGTCAGCAAAGGAACTTTGTAGAAGAGACAGTTTATCTTTTGAGTAAGTAGCTTCATTTCAATATATCATAGAATCATAGAGTTGGAATAGACCACAAGGGCCATCGAGTCCAACCCCCTGCCAAGCAGGAAACACCATCAGAGCACTCCTGACATATGGTTGTAGCATTTTGATTAATAGCAATGACCTGGTGGTTTTGTTTTTATTAAAAGGTGACATCCTCAACTCAGCATTTCCAGGACCACGTTCTTACATTGTATCCCTGCTGATCCTAAAAGCTCATGACCAGGCAAGGTGTCTTAAACCCCCCCCCAAACCCAGAGATATTAAAGCCAATATTATGATCCCATACCGGTGTAAGCTCTAGGTACATAAAAGTCCTGGTTTTGAAAAATGCAGATTCTTAAGCCTGTGGCAGATCTCTGCATGGAAGGATGTTGAGATTCCTGCATTGCAGGGGGTTGGACTAGATTATTATTATTGTTGTTGTTGTTATATTATTATTATTATTATTATTATTATTATTATTATTATTATTATTTTATTTATACCCTGGCCAGAGCCGGACTCAGGGCAGCTAACACCAGTAAAATTACAATCAAAACATAATAGGGGAGGGGAAAAAACAATTTAAAATACGGGTTAAAAATACAATTTAAAATGCAGCCTCATTTTAAAAGTAGCCCATAGATCAAGACCATAAGGGGAGGGAAACATAAGGGTCAGACTGAGTCCAAACCAAAGGCCAGGCAGAACAGCTCTGTCTTGCAGGCCCTGCGGAAAGATGTCAAGTCCCGCAGGGCCCTAGTCTCTTGTGACAGAGCGTTCCACCAAGTCGGGGCCAGTACTGAAAAGGCCCTGGCCGTAGTTGAGATGACCCTTGGGGATCCTTTCTCACCCTTCAGTTCCATGATTTCTTTCTAGCTTGATGGCGGTAGGCTGTTCTTTCAAATTCCTGGTTTCCTTTGTCATTTTAGGCAGAATGGGCAATAGTCGAAGTGCTCTGAAGATGATCATGGAGGAATTATATGATGTGGATAAGGCTATTGAATTTGCTAAGGAGCAAGATGATGCAGAACTGTGGGAAGATCTCATCTTGTACTCCATTGACAAACCACGTAAGCAAAGTAGTCCTTGCTCAGTTAATTTACTGTGTGTGTGTGTGTGTGTGTGTGTGTGTGTGAGAGAGAGAGAGAGAGAGAGAGAGAGAGAGATATTTTAATTAAGTGTGAGGCAGTGAAAGAATATAATTCATCCCTCTACAGAAGAAAAACAGTGTAGTCAGATTGATTTGGGATTAATGCCAGCTCGCATGGGGCAGAAGTCTAAATTGCAACGTAATAATTGGAGTATTACAACGTACTGAGGGGGGAAATGTCCTGGCATCCTGCAGCATCTGGCACTGATAAGCATAAGTAATTACATTATTCCACAGCTGCTGGCACATGTGCTGTTGGCCGACAAATTGGATGAAATGCTAGCATGTTTTTCTATCTCTGCATCTTCGCTGCAAAGGTCTTCAAAAGTTGTACTTTATGTGATTATTGCACACCTTTATATTTCTTAAAATAAGTATTGTTTTAAATGAAAAGGCAAAAAAGATAGAATAGCCCAACCATGGGCACCTGTCCACAGGTGTGATGCCTTGGCTGAGCTGCTGTGATGGAATGGCACTGTAATCAGCAAGAGTGTTCCCAAACAGTCCAGCTACTGTGAGGAACATGAAAGGCAATTGTGGCTGGGGGGGGGGACAAGGCAGGGAATTCACCCCACAGTGTCTAGGAACAGAAGGACCTGTGTGAAGGCAGATGGAAGCTGAGAAGAAAGAGGTGTTTTTATGAAAAAGTGGATAAGGTAGGAAAGCTAAGCGACAGGATGGCTGAAGGTGGAAGCAGAGGAGCCGTGGACTGAGAAATAGTGATCTGGAGGAATCAAAGATGATGTAGAAGAAAGTGGATACTTATAAAAAGGGAGATGGGGGGAAGCATCACAAGGAAAGAGGCAAGGGCAGTGCTGGAAAGTGTGAAGATCAGATGGTGTGTGAAATGCGGAGCCCTGTGTGAATTCAGGGGTGTAGCATGGAAAGCTCTGATGGAAGGAGGAGGCAGGAAAGTTGTCAACATCATTGTCGGCCACAAAGATAATACACAAGTAAAATGAGGCCCTGTTACTGATGTTTGTAGACCCAAGGAATAGTTCAGTAGAATATCTCAAGTTTATTGCAGCTTGTTTATAGGGTATGCAACCTTTATTTCTATGCGTAGCTTTATAAAATGTAAATTTGAAAACTAGGCCGCTTGCTAGTGAGATCTCTCCCCCTTTAGATGTGCCAGCATACTGTTTTCTTCATATTTTCTTTTTTTAGAGAGCAATACATGCAGTTAAGAGGCTAGGCCTGTCTCAAAAAAGCAGTTCAACATTATGCTTAAGTTTCAGATTAACTCCCCCGTTTGTGTTTCTACAGCTTTTATTACCGGCTTGTTAAATAACATTGGGACCCACGTTGACCCCATCCTCCTGATCCACCGCATTAAGGAAGGCATGGAGATTCCAAACCTGAGAGATTCACTGGTAAAAATTCTTCAGGATTATAACTTACAGGTAACTGTTACTGCTTTTCAATGTCCATTCTTCTCATTCCACCACCAGGCATGAATAATAGAGGGAGATCAGTAATTTTAAAGGAACAGAATACTGGTAAAAGAATAATCATGCTATGAAGGCTTCTTGTGCAGTAATGCTGAACGGTTACTACCATTTTAAAATAATAATAATAATAATTTTTTTTGTATATACCCCACCCATCTGGCTGGGTTTCCCCAGCCACTCTGGGCGGCTTCCAACAAAGATGAAAAATACATTAAAATGTCACACATTAAAAACTTCCCTTCAGATGTCTTCTAAATGTTAGGTAGTTGTTTATCACTTTGACATCTGATGGGAGGGCATTCCACAGGATGGGTGCCACTACGGAGAAGGCCCTCTGTCTGGTTCCCTGTAGCTTTGCTTCTGCAATGAGGGAACCGCCAGAAGGCCCTCAGCGCTGGACCTCAGCGTCCGGTCAGAACAATGGAGGTGGAGACGCTCCTTCAGGTATACTGGATGCTGATGATGTTATTACTTTTGTGACGTAACCATTCTCATAGCACAACCTCACAAAAACTTTCTGTGGCCTCCCAATTTAGAGGTCCGCTACTGTGGCTGAGGTAGCGACTTTTTGAATTCAAGGCAGAGCTACTTTTCCCACTTAAGTCAATGGTCAGCCCCACTACTGAAGGATATCCCCATCTCTTCTCAACCACTTGACAGCAGGATGGGGACCAAGTCTGTGAAGCTGCTGTTTTGTAGTTGATGGCAGCACAAGTGGATTATGTCCATGCTTGGGTGGGGCATCAATGGATCTCAGCACTGCCCCCCTCCCCCCGCTTCTTAATCTTTAATTCCAGAGCACTGGGGAATTTCCTTCCTCGCCACAATCCTCCTGAAAATGGTCTATTTTATTTAGAATGCTCATCCTGCTCTGTAAATCCACAAGTCTCTCAAAGTGGCTTTGAGCAACACAACGCTTTCAAAAAGACTTGCACCTATATTCAAAGGAACATGGCACTGGGTTTTTTCAGGACCCCCCCCCAATCATTCTTGATATTCCCTTGTGATGGAAGGTAGCAGGCCTTCTGAGGATTTCTGAGGTGAGTGGGACAGAGCAGCTGAAACTCACACAGGTCTCCCCTTACAATACACCTGTGCTACCCCTGATGTATTCTCACATGCCTGATTTCTTCTACACTCTTTAAGGGCTGTTACTTGCATTATGCAGCAGTGAATGCATTGCTACATGTCCAGGAAGCTTCCTTATACCAGGTCCATCTAGCCCATCGTTTTATACATAGACTGTAGCAACTTTCCAGACTCTCTGGCTGCCCCTGATTCCTTTTAACTGGCGATGCCAGGGATTGAACCTGGGAGGTTTTGTGCAGCGAGAAGACAAGGCTAGTTAGGGCTCCCAGTTTGTGTACAGTGGTACCTCGGGTTAAGTACTTAATTCATTCCAGAGGTCCGTTCTTAACCTGAAACTGTTCTTAACCTGAAGCACCACTTTAGCTAATGGGGCCTCCTACTGCCGCCACACGATTTCTGTTCTCATCCTGAAGCAAAGTTCTTAACCCGAGGTACTATTTATGGGTTTGTGGAGTCTGTAACCTGAAGCGTCTGTAACCCGAGGTACCACTGTATCTGTATAGTATACTAATTTGTAAGCTTGTTTTTCCTCATATGCATATTCGGCGTTTTTACATGTACGCATTGCACTGTTTGTAAAAAAATAAAACAGTGTGGAAAGGAGTCCTGATAAACACTCAGATGTCCCCCCAACCTCTGCTTAAAAACCTCCACCACCTCCTGAGGGAGTCTGTTCCACTCTCAAACAATGCTTACCGTCAGAAAGTTCCTCTTGGTGTTCAGTTGGAATCTTCTTTTTTGTAACCATCTTATACTTGTGCACCTGGTTCTTCCTGCCTAAGTGCAGAGCCTTACATTTCTCCCTATTAAAGCTCATTTTGTTATTTTGGGCCCAATCTGTTACCGGTCATCTTGAATCCCGATTCTGTCTTCTGCAGCATTGGCCTCCCCTCCCAGTTTGGTCTCACCTGCAAATTTGATGAGCATCCCCTCAATTCCTTCATCCAAGTCATTTATAAAGACATGGAACAACAGCGGGCCCAATGCACAGATGATTAATGTAATTCCAAATCATGGCCCAGGTGATATTGTTACCCAGGCTTGTTTTGCTTTAAGCCCCGTGCCCCAGGGGCTAGCCACTGTGCTTAGAAAAGTAGCCTGAAGATCTCTGAATTTAGCAATGCCGTTGTCATCTTTGGTGGGAATGATTTAAGCCTGCCGAATAATGATGGCAGTGCTATGAGTTGAAGGCGTTCCAGTATTCATGGCAGGGCAAGACAGAGTTGTCTGTCTGGAATTAAATAGAAAGTAAGTTAAAGCTGCATTCTAAAAGTGCTTGTAGTTTATATCTCGCTCTTCAATGAGATGAATATTAAATCATAAATAAAGTACACTACTGACAGCTGCAGTTTAATTTATATAGCCATAAAATTGTGCATTCTCTTAAAGTGGAGGCACTCGTGCATCAAAAGTGACACATGCCTGGGAGCAGTGTTTAGCTGGAAGAGAATAAATTGCTGTTCCACTGGCAGTGTTTTCTTATTATAATTAAATCACAATCGGAACTCTGACAAGCCTGCCAGAATGAGCAAGATTACATTGAAATTTAGGCAATAAAACAGTAATTTCCTAATTTCGACTCCTGACATATATATATATGAAGTATCCTGTATTTTCAGCATCTGTGCTTTGGAAAGCTTATGGGCAAAATCAATATTTTGCTTTCACATATAGATTAAAAGCAAAACAAAAAAATGGCCATTTACCCGGGGTCAGTTGTAGGATTTTTCAGCACCGGGGCAAGTTAAGTTTTGCATCTCTCTCCATCCCGCCTCTGCTTCCCAAATCAACCATCCACACAGCCTCCAAGCCCTAACCTTCTTCTCTAGCCCTGGCTCTCCTGCCTAGTTCTGCCCTTTCTGATGCTGAATTCCAAGCTGGCAGTTTTGCTGACAGAAGGGAAGGGTGTGCGTGTGCGTGTGTGCTTTATCTTGTAGTTACCACCCAATTTCAGGATGCTTATTCTACCACCACACACACGTGAACACATGCACACACATACCGTAGCTATTCATTTAATAACAAATAGTTGTATGTCATTATTCATAATTAAAAAAAATCAGAGCGGTTTGCAACAGTTATACATAAAGCCATAAATAAAAATGTTAAAATCAGAAATCAGTCAGTCAGTTTTATTGCACATGGCCAAAGGCTGCCGCAATGTACACAGAATCATTCAACAATTAAAAGAAAATATACTGGATTGATACAAAAAACTTAAAACATTTATGTTATCAAGACATTACCTACTCTAAACAGAGCTATAAAAGTACCTTAATATACAAATTAAGACATTAAACAATAAAATTTATAAGCTAAAATTATCACATGGCCACATATATTTAAAAAATAATATTAATTAATTAATTAAATCAGAAATCAGATAATACTTATTATGGAATTCCCCAGCTGCAGAGGCAGAGAAGGCCTTTATTTAACATGTTGGCACCCCACCTTTCTTCCAAGTTGGGATACAAAGCATTTGAAAAGCATCCTTTTGAAATATGAAGTAATAAGAACAAACTAGTGGTGAAAGTACAAAAAAACACATTTAGAACCAGCATTAAAATTCATCATCACTATTCTGCCTTGCTCAGACCCCACCTGGAATACTGTGTTCAGTTCTGGGCGCCACAATTTAAGAAGGATGTGGACAAGCTGGAATGTTTGCAGAGGACGGAGACCAAGATGATCCAGGGTCTGGAAACTAAGCCGTATGAGGAGTGGTTGAAGGAGCTGGGTGTGTTTAGCTTCAATCCTGGCTAGGCCCTACACTAGAGAATGGGCAAGAACCAGGTCTGGATTTAGGTCTGGCCAGTCACAGCTTCATATTGGCCCCAACATGTCAGTAGGGGACCAGCCACTAGCAGAGGTGCCCCATGTGTCTGGATTTTGGAAATCAAAATGCACCGAAGTAATATCCAGAATTAAAGCTGTCCAGTCGCTTAAGATCCAATTAGAGAAATGTAACAATTAAATAAGATGCCACTCGTGTAAAAGATTGGTCCCTTTCAGGCTACACCTCATAGATCAGATTGAATAAGTGATTTCTGGTCATTGCCAAGGGGCCCAGAAATCACTTTGTATGTTTTCAGCTCAGATCATTTTGGTTGAGGGTGGCGAACTGGCAGGCTGTATACAGCCCCCAAGACATTCTTTCCCAGTGGCTCTTTACCTCCTGTTGGCCTCACAATCTTGCCTGGGTGCTTAATTATTGTGCCACATCTATGCCACATGAGGCGACAGGGTGAGATCTGCAATGGTGCTTCCTTTAGCTTTGTACCAATGAAATATTTAGTAACTGGTCTCTAATGTGTTCTCAAGAGCAGCCAAAACACAAAGCTACATGATGTACACAAAGTGTTTTGCCTACGGGGAGTGCCATAGCATATCCCCCCCCCTGCATTTATTGTTCTCCATTCCTCCTCATGTGGCATACAGGGACACTTCTTGCTGACACTTTGAAGTTAAGCTTTCGTGTCTGTGTCTGTGTGTCTCCCCATCACAGCTGAGTGTGTGCTTTCGTTTTGCAGTGACTTCCGAGCCGATGCATTGCATTATTCACCGCAGAGAGGGGGCCAGTCCTTTCCCAGTCAATATTTATGAGCATTTTAAAGGGACACAAGGCAGAGCATGGATCTGCCTTTTGCAAAAGAGGCTATGTTTGTTACCCTCCGGTCAATATGAAGATAGCAACCTGGAACATTTGACGCTTCCCCCTCTCTGGGGCCAGCTAACACAGCAAGGGCAGATTGCATCCTAATGGGTTTCTGTTTTAAAATCAGTTTGCAAAAGTTGGCCAAGTGGCCGCTAGGGGGCGTGTCGTCACCTGCTTAGCACATGATTGCAGCTCTGCCTGAAGG